GTGCACTGGTGTCATCTCGGCTCACTGCAACCTCCACTGCCTGGATTCAAGCGGTTCTCCTGCCTCAGCCTCCTAAGTAGCTGGGGTGACAAGTGCACACCACCACGCCCGGCCAATATTTTTTTTTTGTATTTTTAGTAGAGACAGGGTTTCACCATGTTGGCCAGGATGGTCTCGATCTCCTGACCTCATGATCCATCCGCCTCAGCCTCCCAAAGTGCTGGGATTACAGTGGTGAGCCACTGGGCCTGGCCTAACCCTTTGATTTTATTTTTTTTGTAGAGGTCTTGCTATTTTGCTACGTCTGGCCTCAAACTCTTGACCTCAAGCAATTTTTCCGCCTGGGCCTCCCAAAGTGACTCAAGTACGTTCTTTCTTTCACTTTTTTTTTTTCGTTTTCCACCGTGCCCAGGTAATTTTTGTGTTTTTAGTAGAGATGGAGTTTCACCATGTTGGCCAGGCTGGTCTTAAAACTCCTGACCTCAAAGTGATCCTCCCACCTCGGCCTCCTATGCTTGGATTACAGGGTGAGCCACGCCCGGCCCACTTCTGTCTTTTAAGGGAGATGTTAGTCTGTTGTGATAAGGTCTGATGGTTGAAGTACAAATGCAGCCTCATACAGATCTGTTGTTGGAAAAGGAAGGCGTTTTTAACAGTTTTTCAGATAATGGTGGGTGTTCTTTGATGCCACAGCTAAACTCAGCAAGTGGTAGTTTTGTGGAGTGGAGTCTGAGACCGTTACCGGTGAACCTCTCAGTTGCAGAGGCAGAGAGGTCCGTGAACGGGTCCCACAGAGTGGCTTCTGGTGCTGGCTGTCTTCCTGGCTGCCGTGTCCTCACGTGGTGGACAGAGAACCCGAGGGAGCCCTCTGGTGTTTTTCGTAAAAGGTCACTAATCCTGCTGGATCAGGGCCCCACCCTCATGGCCTCACTGGACCTTAGTCACTTCCGTAAACGCCTCGTCTCCAGACACAGTCGCATTGGGGGTTAGGGTTGACTGTAACAGTTAATGTCACCGCCGGCCTTATCACAAGCTTTGTAAATGTTGGAAATTTGGCAAGTGCATGTTGTCACACCCAAGTTTGTCAAAGTCTTGAGTTCTACAGTTGCAGCAGTTAGGTCAGCTGTTGCCTCTGAAGTAGGAGCCCCCCTTTGCCTGCCTGCGAGGCTCCTGTCTGAGCGGCTGTCGTCGGCCAGCGCTCTTGAGGTGAAAGGACGGAAGGGCCCTTCGCCTCACCACCCATTCCACTCTTGCTTCCCTGAGGGAGCCGCCTCGGGAAGGGCCCCCTCGCCTCACCA